GAGCCGAAACGGAACACGTCCACCTCCCTCGAACTCAAGGCTGGTAAAAGATTGGTGATAGCACTGATTGCGAGAAAAGGGGACTTTCCTGATCGGATATCACATTTGACTTGAAAATTTCATAGTATAAATCGACAACTAGATCGGATATTACAATTGATCGGATAAATTATCCGTTCAAGTATAATATTATTCGATCTAGTTGTCTATTTTAGTCTACGAAATTTTACCGAATAAGCATATGGCGGCTCATTTTCCGTTCACATTTTATCGAAAATCACATTTCATCGAATAAAGGAAATGATTATTTTGTATCCGATCCGTTTACCAATCAAAAAACAATCGGAAAAGGACTTAAACGGTTATTTCTAATCAAAACCATTGGACATGTTTCTCAGTGTAACAATAAATTTAATTCAAACTTAATTCCATTTTTACACTCATTCTTATAAATCTATATTTTCAACTTAAACTATAGATTAAAATTTCATGAAATTTATGTACTTATAGAAATATATTTATATTTTTTAATTTAATTTCCTATATGTATACATATTGTATATATACATATATATATATATGTATATATATAAGAAATACATCGTATATAATATTATATATATACATATAATTAAGATATATATGTATATAAAATATATACATACTTTTTTCTACAATATTGTATATACATATATTTTATACAAAAATATAACACGTGAATTGAATATATTAACAGAGTTAAATGATTTTCTTTATTTCAACGTAACCCATGGTATTTAATCAGAGGTTAATTCTCAGTGCATACGCCGCTGTCTTACTCGCCGCTTAGACAAACATCCCGCGTTCATCCCTTAAGGGGAAAGCTTGTTCCGAGAGCGCCGCGCCGGCCTTTTAATTTCGCCGCACGGCGGCGATCTCGAAATCCCGTCGCGATTCCGGCGAGGGACTCCCGAGGATTAATGGCGCGGCCCGGCTGCGGGGTAGGCAGGGAGCGTTGAACACCGACGATTAAGCGTCGTCGCATAAGAATGCATCCCGAGCGCATAATAATCCCGGGTGATGCCTCATCGCGGCAATAAATGTCGCGCCGTGCGACGCCCGGTGTCATCGCGCTGAAGGGGAAAAGGCGGATAAATTGAAATTACCTTCCCGTGCGTCCCTCGGAAGCGGGGGCGGCAGCGGCGAAGTGAGGGGAGGGGGGAGGGAGAGCCTCCAGCCCGCAAGCTGAACCTGCCATCCCTACGCGTTGTCGGGGCGCGTCGTCGGGAGATAAGTCTCCCGCAAACAACGAGTGACGCGGGCGAAAGAAAAGCCGGTTGACTTAATCACGTCCATCGGTCGTTCCGGCCGGACAATTTCGCGGAGTTTCACGTGTAATCTCGTTCGTTTAATGCGGTTTGACAGCGAGTGAATTTATACCTGTACCGCGCCTCAATGGGAGAATTATCAAGAAATCGCGTTCCTTCCCCGGCGAAGGTTATACCGCAAACTTTATCATTTATCCGCTATTTTCATACGCGGGCTGAAGTCCAACATGGAGCGGCGCGCGCGGCGGGTTTCTTGCCGCGGAGTTTACACGCGGCTTTCATTAGCGGGAGTTACCAGCCGGAAGGCAGAAGCGCGGTTAAAGTTGGGAAGCTGATTGGAGTACCTCGGCGGTTTACCGCTCTTCCTCCTCCCTCCTCCCGCCGCGCGTCTCTCTCTCTCTCTCTCTCTCTCTCTCTCTCTCTCTCTCTCGCCACTTCCTCTCTTTTCTCCTATTCTCTTCAATCGTTTTCCAACTTTTCGAAAAGCGGCCACGCTCATTAAGCGTAAAGCAAACAATCCCCGTTGGAATTCAACGATCTTGTTTATTCCCGCGAAAGTTACTCGACCATATTCGGGGCGAAAGGAGGCTATTGTGTTCGATTAGCGACTCGAGGCTTTTATTTTCTTGCCGAACGTCTCGCAACTTTTCGAGGAAATCCCCACGCCATTCGGGAAGCACTGCAGTTTCGCGGACAATTCCTTCGTCACGCGGAGAAAAGGATTTTCATTCGATTTTTTTTTTTTTATTGCAGAATTTACGCTCTTCGAAACACGTGCCCATTTCGTCCTTAACAAATTAGCAAATAAATTTCATAACACCACTTTAAAGCGACTTAATTTGACGGACGTAAGACTGAAAGGGTTAATCAGCGGAGAAAATTAACGGTGGGGCGATCTTTTTGCAATAAAAAAGATCCGGACGAAGTTGGCGAGCTCGAAGGAGCCTCATCGATTTTACAATCTATCCCCCCCCCCCACCTTTTCCGCCCCACCTCGCGCAGACTATTATCCTCCTTCCTCTCTCTTCTTCCTCCTGATAACCCGACATCCTCCGGTCGGCGGAGAAGGGGAGGTAGGCGATCCTTTTCTTTTTCTCAATGTAGATACGTCGCTGATTCGCAGTTAATGAAGCGAGAATGAACGTCGGCGGACGAGGGAAGGAAAGAAAAAAAAATGGAAAAAGGCACGTTTTGCAGAAACGGGGAACGTGCGTCCGTGAATTTTCCGCGACGGCCGCCGAGATAGGAAGATTTTTTTGCAGCTCGCGCAAGCGAAAATCTCGCGCGTAAATGGCCCGGCCAGGAGGGGAGGGGGAGTTGAAATTATGTACCGGAGAAGCGTGCCCGCGCCCGCACTTTTCCGCCGCCGCTGCAGTTGCGAATCTTTCCCACGTTATAGCGCACCGGGTGGGCTATCGAGCGCGGAATAATATTGGACGGTTCATTTCCGGAGCAACCTGCAATTAAATAAAAATCTCATTAAGACGGACGCCAGGTGTAAATTAATCATTGTGAAATTAATAATTATTAAACAGCCGTGAATTAATTAGCTAAGATAGCTGGAAACAGATATATAAGGTATTCATCTGCAGCCTTTCATTCGATAAAAACAATATATCTTTCTCGAAAAGTCGATTACATCAATATAGATCACTTTACTATTTATTTATATGACGTGGTGTACGTTTCAGAATTTTTAAATTCTTAAAAAAATAAGATTCATTTTCCTGAAATCTGATGTTTTTGGAAAAAAAAAACTATAAACGAATCAATCCATTTAACAGCATTGAATTTAATGACAATTCTCTGGTGCAAATTAATTTTTCATAATATCGCAACATTTTCGATATATTTAATATTAAATATATAGTTATTAAATATATTTTATTGATATTAAATACATATTAATATTTTACAAACGCAGAACATGTATATTTTAAAAGTTATGCACATTAGTTATACATACCTATATATAATTTTTTTAAATAAAAAGACTGATATAAAATATATGTATATTATATAAAATTAATATATGCATATCATTTTTATAAGATTAAATTAAAAAATCCATTTTCCCTCTTCCTTATAACTCGTGTGTATATTTGATGTCATAATTATTAATTTTCTAAAGCGACAACGGCCATTATCAAGCTATTGATGGAGGGCTTCTATTGAAATTAATTATTCCCGTAGTAAAATAAACCTGGCGCGGTGCTTTACTTATCGAGGTCTACTTAATTTCTACCCTCTGTTGCAGCCTTTTCGTTACCGCCGCCTTGTAGTTACGTGAGGTACAGCAGCCTGGAGGACGTGAAGCCGAAGGAGTTGGGCTTCCCCCAATTAGAATTCACGCCCACGGTTGTCTCAAAAATACGGTAAGACCTTGCTCTTGCTTGCCCCGGTTTCATACTTATAATCACGCCATTGTTAACTCGCTATTAAAAGGGAGGCGAACGCGCGCCTGCGAGTTGTCAAGACGGCTTCTTAAAGGGCCCGAATTTAATTATGCCAGGTCGGTAACCCTCTCCCCCCTCCTCCTCTTCCTTCCCCTCATCCTTCTCTTCTTCCTCCTCCTCCTCCTTCTCCAGCTCCTCGCCCTTTCCCGCCGGAACGGGATGCCGCTCGCGCAGCAAGCGAATCTCCTAATTAGCGATGCGGTAGCTGCCTTTTGCACGCACAGGGAAAATTTGCGTCGCAAACATGGAAGGGTGGTCCGGCGTAAAGGGCGAACTCGTTTCAGCGCGACGCAGGCGGCGCGGCGGCCTGTCCTGTTTTGCTTACAACGCAAACTAATTACGCTCGGTAATCGAACGCGTGATCGAATCAGTCAATCAGAAAATTCCGCGTCTGAAATCCGTGACGTCGAGACAGAACGATGGCACATGAAAACGTAAGGTAAAATTTATTAATTGTAGAATAGGATTTTTTTGCGAAAAATAAGGAAAAAAGAAGAAAGAGACAGAAAAGAAGAAAGGAAAGAAAGAAAATAAAGAAGATAAGTGAAGAAAGAAAAAAGAAAGAGAAACAGAGAACATGAGAAGATTTCCAAATTGAGTAATATTGAAAAGTATTGTTACACTCGCGCCTGCGGCAAAGACGGAGACACTCGCGAGCTCGCGCGGAAAAGAACAACACACTCGTTTATAAATGAACTACAACGGTTTATTGAACTCTTAATACACTCGAGCGTATCTCAAACTCGCGTCAACCCAGAGAGTCCCGCCAAACAACTCTAAGGGAGCAACCCTCTCTTGTCCGCTTCCGCGGACGATTTCAATCGGCGCAACTTATGCTCGGCTGACACCGCGAAGCACGGGCGTAACAGTATCTATAGATTTCTGAACTGATTTTGATGGAAATCTTTCTAAAAATAGGAATAATTTAAAGTTTCAGTTTAGTTTGAGAATTACATTTAATATTATTAAATATAGATACACGGAAAGAATAATTTTGCTGAATCCAGATCTGAAAATAATTTTTGTTCAATAATTAAAATAATTTTGTGCGAAAGTCAAAATGATTGCTAGAATATCAAAACGTTTCATAGCAATGCTTATTAGTTTTAACATTTCAACAAATTATTTTGATGATTCAACAAAAAATTATTTTCAAATCTGTTTTTAGCAAAATTTTTAGATCTTTCAACAAAATCGTTCTTTCCATGTGTACTGCCTTAAACGTTCCGAGTTTCGTAATATACTTAAAACGTTTCTGCCATAACTTGAATCACGCTGCTTGAATTTTTTTATGCGCGACTAATCTCGAGCTCTTTGTTTTTCGTACTAATGCAACTTTAATTTGCTTTTATATTAAGGACCGCGGTTTAGAGGTAGCGTTTTCCACGAATGCGATCCCCGAAAAGGATAAACTGCAGGCGAAAGAATGTTTTACGAAAGGGAGAACACATCGCGGGACAAATATATGTAACTGGAGCGCAATTCTAATTCGTCCCCGTCGTATTTTTGTGTCACCTTGCCTATTTCGGCCGCCGGCATTGTTGCCTCGAAGTTAGTGGAAAGCACGAAAGCAACAAGACTTGACCTGGAATGCATGTACCTTTGGCGACAGGAACCTCGTTTAGAGGATAAAGGGTATCGGGGGAGCATGCATGGGGGGGTTCATAACGAGCAACAAAGGCTTTACCGCTACTATCAAGAGATACGGTCAACGCACACACGTCGCGGTATGTACCGAGCGGCAATTACCAACCGAGTTAATTTTTCACGTCGTTATTCAAGAACAAGATAGGAAGTGTCCCTTCTACGTACACACTCTTTAGTTAGCGTAATTACCAAGATACTCAATATTAAATATTTAAAAGCACCAACAAAGGGATGAGTATACGTTCTTTCGAGAAAAGGTCAGCTCTGTTAATTAAGATCGACTCGCTTCGTCTCTATTCAGGAGTTCGACCTACTTGACTTGTCGGACGAACGAAAATCACGGATTTACGTCGCCGCTATTCCCTATCCGCTATATATACGCGGAAGAATAATAGAAATTTAAAGATCAGAAAATGACGTACGAAGCTGTCAAAGCTTAATGCGCTAATAACGGGACACGGTACGCACAGTAATAAACTCTTGTCGATTCTCGA